ACATGTGATCGCAAATGCAATATCTGCGACTGTGTAAATCATAACTTAGCCGGGATTTTCACCCATTTTTCAATTCTCTCAAACCTTAAACTTCCCTAGGCGATTTTCCAAAGACCCTAACTTCTCCAAATCATAGGTAAGTGATTTATAACTCATTTCTTTCAATCTATCTCATCTTTTTTACAAGATTTCATCACAAAATCTATGGATTTTCATGGGAAATTAGGTGTTTTTGGGTAGAATTTAGTAATTTCATAATTTGGGGAATTAGACCTCAAATTGAGGTTGGATTCCAAAACCAATTGTATATCCGGGCTAAGGGTGAATGTGTAATAGGGTTTCGGTCCGAATTTTGAGTTTGGACCAAGCGGGCTCGGGGTCGGGTTTTGACTTATTGGAGAAAATGTCATAAAACCTATAATTATGCAGTGGAGTTGAGTTGTTTAGTATTTATTGATGTTATTAAATTGATTATGGCTAGATACGAGTGAATTGGTGGTGGAATCGAGAGGTAAAGCAGTGATTGAGTGTTGAATTACCCGTTGTCTTGAGGTGTTTGGTCTAACTTTGACTTGAGAGAATAGGAATCCCTGACTTATTTGCTATGTGAAATTCTATGTGTGTGGTGTATAGTTGTGGTGATGAGTACCTATGAGCCACCAAATTTCCATTTTTAGCTTGTTCCCTTCCTCGTTTCCTATTATACTATTTCTTGCCTTAATTGCTACTTGCTCATAATTGCTTCCATTTCTTAATTACTATTTGCTCATATATGTTTCCATGTCTAATCGCTTTATATTAATTGTTGTTCTCTTTATTGAAGTATTTAATTATTTCATGATTTTATTTTATTACACTGTTGGCTTATATTGGCTTGTTGGTGCCTTATGATATACCTTGGTTGGTCTCGCTGAGTAGTTTAGACTGGTGAAGTTTCCTAATCGTAGTGATATTCCATTGTGTGGATTGAGGTATAAGTATATTGGAGGATTTGAATTAACCTGTGAAACACTTGTTTTTATTCATTTGTGATTGGTGCTGATATATATATATATATTGGGATCGGATTGCACGCCGCAACAGGAGGAATAAGGATGATGTGATTGACTGGTGGGATCGGGTTGCACGACGCAACAAGGAGTAATAAGGGTGGACATATGGGATCGGGTTGCGCACCGCAACAGGAGGAATAAGCGTGATATGTGTTGAGGAGTAATAAGGGAGGACATGTGGGATCGGGTTGCACGCCCCAACAAGGAGGAATAAGGGTGAATATTGATTTTGTTGTTGTTTATGTGATGGGATCGAGATGTGCGCCGCATCAGTTGTTGTTAAGTGTTCATATCTGTTGAAGTCCATTATTGTGATATTGAAACACCCTTAAGGAATGGTTATAGCTGAATACTAGTAGAACTGTTGGGTTCCGGAGTTATTTAATGCTAGTTATTGCTTTATTACATTATGTATTTCCTTTCTGTTTAGTATAAACTGTTACAGGTTGTATATGTTGTATGCCTCGTCGTAGCCTCATCACTACTTCATCGAGGCTAGGCTCGGCACTTACCAATACATGGGGTCAGTTGTAGTGATACTGCACTCTGCACTTTCTGTGCAGATTTTAGAGCTAATGGCTGATCGTGATGTTGGTTGTTGTTGCTGCATTTGGAGACCCAAGGTAGTCCTGCAGCCATCCGCATGCCCTGGTATCCCCTTCTATCCTATTTCATTTCTATTTTATCTACTTTCGAGACAGATGTAGACATTTTGTTCAGACTATTATTTGTAGTATTGTAGACAGTTCGTGAGTTATGACACCAGTTCTGAGAGGATTTCATTTCGGTTTTCGTTTATGTATAAAGTTAAGTTTTTAAACTGTTTTCTTCCGCATATATTTCCACTGGTTCATTTTGTTAAGTCTTAAATATTTGAAAGATAAAGGTAAAAGGTAAGATATTTTGTAACGTAGGCTTGCCTAGCGGGTTCAATGTTAGGCGCCATCACGGTCCCGACGATAGGAAATTCGGGTCGTGACATTTGATTTTGCAACATGATACTTAAATTATCAAGTCACACCATCTTCTCAGATTTGAAGCCACCTTGCGAGTTCAAATTATAGTCATAAACAATATGAATTATATGAACAGAAAAGCAGGAAAAAAATCTACATCTGAGACAACGATCATGATTTTGCTTAAAGAGTAGGTAACAAGTTTTATATCTCTCCCAAAATTTGATTTAGCAAATATTCAAGAACCATGATAACAATTAAAACATAATAAAATGACAGATGACTAACTAACTTTTGTCTTTCCTTAACTAACTTGAATTGTTAAGTATAGTAATGTCAAATGTTTCAATTAAATCCCCAATGTCTATTAAGGTATGTTTTTTTTGTTTTCGTTTGGGTGTCTAGTACTTGTTTTGGGCCGACTAATCTGAATTTACCCGGCATTCATGAATATATCAATTTGAGGGATAAATAGCACGGGCTAGCCAGTTTTCGGACTGGGCATTAAAAAATAGCGAGCATTTGAAAAGTCATTGAAAAATAGTCACTATTTTGCTGAAACACAGAAAGTTCCAGCATAATATAATGGAGATTGGTGCACCTGTGTATGAACTTCCAGCATATTATGATGAAACTCCAACACGTGAAAAGTTCCAGCATAATATACTGGAGATTGGAGCTCCTGTGTATGAACTTCGAACATATTATGCTGGACCGGTATATTATACTGGAACTCTAGTATATTATGCTGGAAGTCTAGTATATTATACTTGAACTCCAATATAATATACTGAAGTTCCAGTATACTTATGCTGGAACTCCAGTATATTATGCTGGAAGTCTAGTATATTATACTTGAACTCCAATATAATATACTGAAGTTCCAGTATACTTATGCTGGAACTCCAGTATATTATGCTGGAGTATTTTCTGGATTTTGAACAGTGTTTTCGTTCATATTTATCTTTACATGAAAATTGGCTAAATTTCTATTACTTTTGAAACTGTGGCTATTTTTGAATGACTACTTGTAAATTTGGGTATTTTTGAATTTCTTCCCAATTTGAGGGGTAAAGATAAAGTTTCTCCTTTCTATTGTATATTTCTTATTCTTTTTTAAAAAATTAGCAGCGATAAAAGAGCGATTGTTAATATATCAAATTGAGTTGTGACTTATTACCAAAAATGTGTGGTGGTATGTTTGAAATCAAGAACTTCTAGTAGGTAGCGTTTTATCCCATTAAAGGCCCATAAAAGCTGAGTTAGAATTTGAAGTTTATGATTTAGAATTTTATTATTTTTACTTGAAGTTTTAAATTAATAATTTATACATATTTATTAAATTTTTTACACAAGTACATAAAAATTGAATCAAAACTACTGAGTTCAGTCGAACCCGTACTTATTGAATCAAATCTTTGAATACCGGATGGCTAAACGGAAAAAAGAAAATAGAACACTGACTTACGACCAACTTGGTCGGAATGAAGAGCGTGTATTCGGGTTATCAACCTTAGCTACTGATGATGGACTGATCATGGGTCGGTCCGCTTTTGATGGGAAAAAGCTTAAGGATATGGAAATAGGCCAATTTCAGTGTTGTTGGGCCCAACTCAGTATCTATTATTAGACCTTCTACAAATTAGCCCTCAACGAATGAAAATTGGTCATCTTCCAAATCATCACTTGCTCCTTGTCTTGCTGCCCTCAGTTGTTGTTGTCCCAGTAAGAAATTTTCTGTAAGAATTCGTTGACCTAATATATTGCATTTGTACTCCAAAGTTTTTTTTATATTTATTTTTGCATTTTGTAACTATGTAAGCCTCTGCAATTCACTTTATTCGTTTTCTGCTATGTTACTTGTTTACAAATATCTTTGAGGAACTTATTATCGTCTGTTGAGTTAATTCTGCTTTATTTGGCTTTGCATTAATGAGAGAAAAAAATTGTCGTATTAATGCACCCAATCTTACCTCTACAAAATTTCAGAAAATATTAAAATTTGAAATCTTTTATTAATATTTATATAAAAATAAATTTAGATATATTATATAATAATATATTAGTTCTTCATATTAAAGGGTTTCTTGTTTTAAGCCATGTCTATGCTAAATGAGGGTGTTTTTTCCAACTGGATTGTCTATACATGATTACATGGGCTCAGTATTATCAATTGCCATATTTAGTCGGTTTTAACGTCTAGTTTTCATAAGATTATAGTTTTAGTATTGAAGTGAAAAAACATTTAAAAACAGGTATTTCTTTCTCCCGTTGAACTTAACTTGGCTTTGCTGGGCACTAGTCTTTGTGTTTTGTATTTAGTTTTACTTTTATCTATCACTTTTTGAATAAACTCAGCTTGCATTGAAAAATGTAGTTCTTTTTGTTGCTTTAAGCCCTGCCTATGCTAAATAAGGGTGTTGTTTCAGTGTTATTTTTGCTGTATTTAGTTGTTTATATCACCTAGTTTAAGAAGGTTACAACAGTGTAATCAAAGGCGAAAAGCACAAAAACACTCTAAGGCTTGTTGGGGCTTTAAGGGCAAGTAAAGTGTGGGCTTTAATGAAGAAACGCGCAAATGGAGAAAAATACAAATATTTAGGCGTAGTCCAAGACTAATAATTATAAGTATGAATACAAATATATGGACAAAAAATTAAAAAAAAATATGATAAAGTGAAATATCAATTGAAAAAATTATCACCTTGAGATGTTTTTAGTGAAAATACCTAAATATGTTTCTTTGAAGGTTATAAAGACGCTGCTTTTCTTTTAGAATTTTTGAATAATTTATAAACATTTGCTTAGGTATGCTGTTGAATTTTATGTTTACAATAGGCAAGCATTGCAGTGAAAAAACCCATGGTTTCTGTAGGTCTGCAAGCTTTAATTTTGAGAAAACATAAAGCCTGTGATTTGATAGAGTAGTAAACTGCTTACAAACAAACAAACAACATCAACCCAGTGGAATCTCACAGGTGGATAGTGTGTACGCAGATTTTACCCCTACTCCGAGGCGTATGGAGGTTGTTTCCGATAAACCCTCGGCTAAAGAAATGAATAGAGACAGTGGCGCAGTAATATCAGAGAGCAGTCAACTGTTTGGGAGGATAAAACGAATAATCAGGAAGAAAGGAAAAGAAGAATGGGCCGAAAGACATCAAAAAAGCATGCTGGAGTCGATGCTGATAGTACTGTTGAAAGTGTATCTGGAGGGAACACCTATGGCAATGATAGATCTCGTAAGCCCGACAAGACAGCCCCTGTTCCACAAACATCATTTCTCAGGTTCTCATCGCATATTCGTCATTTCCAATTTTATTAGATGAACTAATTGACATATTGCAATCTGATGCATTCACACCTTGCTAATATTCTTGTGTAGACAGCAGATTGATCCCGAGACTGCAAAATACTTCGCTGAGATTGCTAATTCCCTTGAAGGTACAGAAATTGACCCACAGGAGTGGTCTGTCATTTGTGGAAATGCATTGGAAGAAACCAGAGGGAAAGAAGCAGAACTTGCAACTGATTATATAATAAGCGATACTTTGCAAACTCTAGTTGAAGGCTGTTCCTTGGATCACCTTTGTATTTTCCTTCAGAGATGTGCCAAGAATATCTCTCATATTGCAGCTGATAGATCAGGCTTTCATGTGGTCGAAACGGCTTTAAATCTCTACCTTATCACCTTCAGGAAAGTGAGAATCATTCTCTGATTGAACAGGCTTTGACTAAAACTATTAAGGTATGAAACAGTGTCATCGTCATTGTTTATAATGATTAAATGTTTTCCTATTGCCTACTTTGCATTACAACATGCTATTCGCTTGCATAATCCTTTTCTGTTCTTGTGGTTCTACGTTAAACCCCATTTTGAAATCTGCTATAAGATTTAAGATTGGGAAATGTCATAGTGGATCAGAATAAAAGGTGGATGATAATTTCTTGGGTATACGTGATCCATGTTTTTTACTTGATTGTTCATTGGCTCTTTTACTTTTCTATGTCAGGCAATTATTGTCAATCCTGTCGATATAATGTGCAACTGCCATGGATCTCATGTGCTTCGAAGTATTCTTTGCCTACTTAAAAGGGTGCCTTTAGAAGAGTTCCATTCCACCAAGTCATCAGCTTGAATCTCCAGGTGCCTCAAGCAAAAGACAACGGCTCACCGCGGTTTCAGCAAATATTTCCTAGTTTGCTTAAAAATTTCGTATCAGAGATGTTAAATGCTGCCAACGAAGACATTTCAAAACTTCAAACTAATCAATACAGCAGTTTAGTTCTGCAGGTATACAATTTATGTTCCCAGGCTCCATTGTCACATCAGTCTTTTTGCTGACAGTATGTAAATGTTCAAAAGATCATAAAGACCACTATGGAAATTGGAAACACTAGTAATACATGCTTGTGTTCCAACTAATGATTTATCTTTTATAAGGTCACTAGTTTGAACCACAACTGTGGAATTACATATCAACGAGCAATGATTGATTTTATTCTCATATTTGCAGACTGCTTAATATTATTGGCCGGAAATGAACAGGAATTGTTGCATTTAATTCGAGTTCTTCTTGTGTATGTGTCCCTTTTTCATTCTTCTTTTGAATTTATTTTTGTGATGTACATTTATGCCTATGCCACATATTCACCTCTTTCCGACATTCCCTGCCTTTTACATTACTTTGTTTATAGTCTTTAGCTTTAGTCTGACATCTGATGTGGATCTATCTAGTTTGTTTGCATATTTTCTATTATTTCAAAAGCCAGTGTGTAGTTATTGTGTATGCTATGTTCTATCTACTGAAGTGTTGTTTAAGCTGTCAGCATGTTTATAATCCTTTTTATATGCTACAGGAACTCATACAGATCTATGTTACTAGTATCACATCTTTGGAAGAACATCATGTTCTTGCGGCATCGAAAGATCCTAGTGGTTCACGGGTCATTGAATCTTTCCGCAACTCGAATATATCGGCAAAGCAAAAATGGAAGTTAGTTGCCAAGTATTTATTACAGTCGATGTTTGTTACTCCATTTACAGTTGATATTATTGATTTGCTAATAATGATGATCTGTAACCTGAAGGCTTCGAGGACATTTTGGTGAGCTCTCAGTGCACCCATTTGGTTCATTTACAGTTGAAAAGTGTTTCACTGCTAGTAACTTGTCCCTGAGAGAAACAATACTGTCGGAAATGCTACCTCTCCAATCAGAGCTATCCAAGACCAAGCAGGGACCTTACTTACTGAGGAAACTCGATATTGACGGGTAAGCTATAGGCTTTTCTTTTCCATCTTCACGGCTTCACCCCTTTGCCACTATCTAATGTAGCTTAACGATGGAAGTTCACAGTGCTCTGTGGCTGAGAGCACCATTTCTTTTCCGATCAAGGATCTGTTGTGTCATAACTCTTATTGTCTATGCATCTTGATCCTGTTCGTTGTCACAAAGTTAAAAGGGCTAGGTACATTAAGATTATTGTTTCTTCTCATCCTAGCATGACTGCATGTAATTGTTAGCTAAACAGAGATGGAACACTTGATTGAATTATCAATCAATGTAGTCAGAGAAGCAGAATAACAGTTAGAAGAAGCAGAGGAACAGATATGAAGAAGTAGAGAGTCAGACGACAGAGAGAGAAATAGTGGAGAGTATTATTATTTTCTTTCAAAGTGTATTCTTTACAATGTGATGTTATGTATATATATATATATAACAATTCTTTAAGCCTCATCTAACTAACTCTTAATCCTAACTTAAGAGTTAGGATTAAGACTATTCTGCCAATTTTAACTAACTTATAATAACCTTTCCATACAAAGACTATTCTGCCCTCACTTTATTTAACACTCCCCCTCAAGCTAGGTGGTGGAAAGATATTAAACATCCCTAGCTTGGACTTCAAATATTCATGCTGAACTTTAGTTAAACCTTTTGTAAGAATATCCGTTGGTTGCTCTGTTGTAGAGATATACTTTGTAGCAATAAGACCCTGTTGGATTTTTTCTCTCACAAAATAACAATCTATTTCAATGTGTTTAGTCCTTTCATGATAGATAGGATTAGCAGTTATTTGAATGGCTGCTTTGCTATCACTGTGAATATCAATAGGCAATTTAATCTGAACTTCAATCTCTTTTAGCATGCCATGAAGCCAAATTAGCTCAGCAATAGTTGTTGCTAAACTTCTATACTCAGCTTCTGCAGAGCTTCGAGATATAGTAGTTTGTTTTTTTTATTTCCAGGAGACCAAAGAATCACCAACTTTAATAAAGAACCATGTGACTAATTTTCTTGTCAATGGACATGCAGCCCAATCTGCATCACAAAATGCAGTAATTGTATTGATCTGATTGTTGGACAATAGGATTCCTTGACCAGGTTGATTCTTTATATACTTGACAATTCTCAAGGAAGCTTCCATATGAGATTTTTTTGGTTGCTATAGAAACTGACTTAGTGTCTGAACTTCAAATGCAATATCTGGTCTTGTTACTGTTAAGTAGAGAAGTTTTCCTATCAACCTTTGATATGATGCTTGATCAACCAGTAGATCATTGTCTGCTAATTTTCCTATTTGATCAGTATATTCATCATACTGTTTAGAAGTAAGCTTCACATTGCTATCAATTGGAGTTACTGTTGGTTTTGCTGCAGCAAGTCCAGCTTCTGAAATTAACTCTAAAGCATATTTTCGTTGATGCATTACAATACCTTCTTGTGACCTAGCAAAATCAATTCCGAAGAAAAACTTTAGCTCTCCCAGATCTTTCATCTTGAAAGTATTCTATAATGATAATTTTGTCTCTTCAATAAGTTCTAGGCTATCTCCTGTGATTAGTAGATCATATATATAGACTAATACAATAACAATCTCTCCAGTGGTCCTTTTGATAAATAATGAATGATCAAACTGACTTTGTTTGAAATTGAACTTCTAAAGAGTCTCACATAGCTTTGTATTCCATTGTCTAGGAGCTTGTTTAAGTCCATATAGGGATTTAATAAACATGCATACTTTATTCTCCCCTGGCTTCTAAATCCCTGAGATAACTCCATATATATTTCATCAAGTAAATCTCCTTGAAGAAAGGCATTGTATACATCCATTTGATGTATACACCATTTCTTTAAAGCTGCAATGCTTAACACAGTTCTTACTATAACCATTTTCACTACTGGTGAAAATGTTTCTTGATAATCAATTCCTTCAGTTTGACTATATCCTTTAGCTACTAGCCTAGCTTTAAACCTCTCAATATCACCTGAAGCCTTATATTTAATTTTGTAAATCCACTTACATCCAATAGGCCTCTTACCTTCTGGTAGTATTACAATATCCCATGTGTGGTTGTTTTCCAGTGCTTTTATTTCTTCATTCATAGCATCTACCCACTTAGGATCTTGAACAGCTTAAGAGTAACTAGTAGGTTAGTGATTGAGGAGGTTGCTGCAACATATGCTTGATACTTAGGAGATATTCTGTCATAGCTGATGTACTTATCTAAGGCATAGGGAACATCTTGATGGATATTTAGAGATACAAAGTCTTTCATCCATACGGGAGGTTGTTTTCCTCTGCATGATTTTCTAAGTTGATGTTGCATTTGTCTTTGAGTTTCTATAGATGCTTGAGATGTCTCAACATGCTGCTGATGTTCTGCCGATATTTGATTATATCCTCCTTGATTACCAGAGCTATGAGCCTCTGAATAGTTATGGTTTGTTGGCATATCTGAACTATTTTCAACTTCCATATTATGATGAGTGTGAAACTGTACCCTTTCCACTTCATTTGAAGAGCCATTGTTTGTAGTACCTACTATTCTCATTTCAAATAGAGATTCACAATTGTCATATAAAATTTCTGATTTTGTGGTATTATCCACAAACACAGGTTTTGAAATACTAACTTTACTTGCAAACATGAATGTGTCTTCTCTAAATATGACATCTCTACCAACAAAGAAAGTTTGATTAGCTAAATTATATAGTATATAACCTTTTTTGATTTTCTAAATAACTCATGTGAACTGATGGTCTTGACCTAAGCATTAACTTGTCTTGTTCTTGAACAATTTCAGCAAAACATAAGCACCCTAGTACCCTAAGATGATGAATGGCAGGTTTCATTTTATACAGTTTTTCAAAAGGAGACATATTCCCAATGACTGAACTAGGCATTCTGTTTATTAGATATATTGTTGCTAACACACAACATCCCCAGAATTTAATAGGGATTTGAGCTTGAAATCTCATAGCTCTTGTGACCTCTAATATATGTCCATGTTTCCTCTTAGAAACTCTACTTTGCTGAGGAGTATAGACACAAGTTCTTTAGTGAATAACCCCTAAGTCTTTGAATAAAGATTCACACATAGAGTTTACAAACTCTGTTCCATTATTAGTTCTGACTATTTTTACTGTTTTTTCAAATTGAGTTTTGGCATATTTAAGAAAATTCTAAATCAATACACAAACATCAGATTTTTGTTACAGTAGAAATATCCATGTCATTCTTGAATAGTCATCTACAATAGTCGGAAAGTATCTATTTCCATCCCATGTAGGCACTTTATATGGTCCCCACAAATCTATATGTATTAGATCAAAATAATCTTTACTCTGAATACTACTTGTAGGAAATGGTAACCTAGTTCGTTTAGCACAAGGACACACTGTGCATTTGTTTATTCTATCTTTGATGGTTTCTAAATCTGCTTGAACCAATCTTTTTTATACTTGAGTAGATACATGCCTCAATCTTCTATGCCACAAGTCTATATCTATATTTCCAGCTTCAATTGTCTCATTACTTCTTGTAGTTAATGTCTTCAATTTCTCTTTTTCTCTTGAGTCAGTGTATAGAAGATAAAGTCCACCATCCTCTTTACCAATCTCCTTCACCTTCCCACTGAAGAGTTCCTGAAACACACAGAAATCAGGAAAGAAAGTAGATGAGCATTGTAACTCCTTAGTTAGTTTTGAAACTGATAAGAGACTATATTTAAATTGTGGAACATAAAATACATTTGTTATTAAGCTATCTTCTAAAATTGAGTTGGACCCTATATGTGAAACTACTGTAACATCTCCATTAGGTAGCAGATTTTTTTTAGAGATTTCTGTTTCTGTAATTGTTTTTTCCTTTAGAAGATTTATGTCTGAGACTACATGGTTTGTAGCACCTGTATCTATAATCCATTGTTTAATGTAATTAGTGACAAGTAAGGCTGCTTCCATACTTGCTGCATTTGCTAAAAATGCAGAATCATTAGATGCAGTCTTGTTCAACAGTTGAAGAATTTGTTCATACTGATTTTTAGTAAGTGCATAATTTGCCAACTGACTCATAGGATTGTCATTGTTCATGTTGTTTGTACTAACTTCAGTACTTGCGTTGTTTCCATAGCTGAATGTGGATTCTTGTTGACTCTCTCGATTACCTGAATTATGCCCAGTATTGCACCTTTCTATCAGGACATTGGCATTATAGACTGTGTCACACCTCCTTTTTGCGCGCCCGCCCCGGAGGGTAAAATGCGCGAGGGGAGTTTTTCCAATTTAAGTGACAATATTCGAAATGAGATTATTTATTTAATTCAGAGTCGCCACTTGGGAAAGGTTTGGCTTTTGGTGTCCCAAGTCACCGGTTTATCTTGAATCCCAAATCGAGGAAATTTTCGACTTTTCCAAATGAAGTCTGCGAACCAGAAATTCTAAGTAAGGAATTCTGTTGACCCGAGGGAAGGTGTTAGGCACCCTCGAATCCCGTGGTTCTAGCACGGTCGCTTAAATTGTTATAATGGCTAAATATCTGATTTAAATACATGTTGTGACTTATGTGCTTTTATTAAATTTAAACCGCTTTTATTATTATCATTTATTTTTATAGAATTGCAACGTCGTGAAAATGCATCTCGAACCACGTCACAATCAATGCACACGTAGTTGTTTGACACATTTCGACTCCGTTGAGATTTGGATTTGGGTCACATCAATGTGCATCCGGATTTAAGAATGTAATTTCAATTGAGTCGCGCCTAAAGAGTCTAACGCGTTATTATCTTTGGGGAAGGCAGTGAAATTCACTAAACAGTCCATCCCAAATTCTAAGTATTTATTATGGTTAATTATTGAGGGCCCCGCAATTTGCATTTTTAATTTGGCGAGGCTCGTCTCATTATTTTAGAAAGGATATCCTAAAGCGACTACATTTCTAATGTGTTTGTCTCTAAAAAATAGAAGAAAAAGATACATGCTAATTCAATTATATGCTTTGGCCAAATCCGGATTCTTATTAATTATCTGATTAATTATTTACAAAGTGAAGAAGCGTTATACCTCATGGAACACGCTTTTAATTTGATAGAAGAATTATATACGATATTGATGAAACGCTACACTTAACCCCAAATACTCCTCAAGTTAACTTTAAACTTATTTAAACAGGATTAATAAAGTTACTCATTAGATGGTGCTACTAATAATATTCGGAACTCATCCTAAAAGGAACTGCCTACTGAAATCTAAACTCCCAGATTTAAAACTGTGTTGTCTTCGACAATATTTGACAAACCAATTCGCCCTAACATGCTCAATACAACTAAAGGAAAGTTCGAATTAATGATTACATTAAATGGTTACACATTACATG